TATCTGGTCTGCTCTCTGAATTATTGTTATGTAAACTCTGCAATGAAGAACATGAATCTGAACAAATGATTGATTTAAGTGGTCTGACGTCCTCTATCCATTACAATAGGCTTGATTTTTTTTTTTTTTTTTTAGATAATGGATAGGTCATTTTGGCACGATATAAATGGCGTGATACAAATTTCAGCCACCAGGCTTAGAACAAACTAGTGCATGAGCTGAGCCATATTTTCTTAACAGAGGAAAGAATGTATGTTTGTATTTGAAAACCATTGACTTTAATAAGAAATTCTCGTAAAGTTATTATGTAACTGTTAAATACTTTGATAAACAAAATGTTCACATGAATAAAAGTTATTCAAATGCATCAAAACATAAAGCTTCACTAACAGCAAGGCGTCATTCTTTCTCATAGAAACTTTCTACTACACAGGTGCTGCTAATTGGAAAGACTTCGCCAAGTTCTTTCTTCCTTGAGTTTCTTGCTTTTGGTCTTTTTCTTTCGGGAAATTGCAATATTAAAGACAAACTGAGAAATTTTACATTTATTTTGCATTTCTGAAATTAGTTCGACAAACGTACTTACAGCGAAGTTCAGCAAAATGTGTCGAAGACGTAAATTATCAGCTTGCAGCAGGTGAATGAGTGCGGCTGGAAAAGGGGCGTGGTTAGCTGTGACAGTGTGGCGTTCACGGACTATTGGGAATATGAGACACAGTAAATGTTACCTGTTTGTTTTTATTTTCTGAAAAAAGGCTCGAGTACTCATATTAATGCCGCTCACGTTTTGCAAAAGTGTAAATGTAAACGAAGTATTTTCGTGCAAAACGTGTATCTATTTCATTTATGCTTAATTTTTTTTGTAAAACGTTGTGTTAACATTGGATTTCATTTTTTTAAACTGGTTTAGTAGCTTCTTAATATAATCTAAAACTGATCTTTCCAAGTGTTAATTGTTTTATTTATTTAAATTAAAAATATATATTTTAAAATAGTCTTGAGGTGTTTCAATGTCCATCTAGAAAAAAAATAATAAGCTGTTATAATAGCTTTTATTATTTTTATTTTTCGCTCACGCAATGTCCACAATGTGGGTGTTTTAGCCAACACAAGCCGGACTGCTATAGTAAATTTGACTCTGTGATTATCTTGGATGTAGAAACACAGGAGTGCGCACGTGAAGGCATCACCGGCTCCCTGTTGTGGCTCTGCTCGTTGTGTTTAGTGCTGGCTCCCCTCTGTCCTCAGCACAGATCCATCCCCGCTGTACGGCGCAGGCCCGAAGTAGCGCAGCCGCTCTGAGGTTAGTGCTCTACCGCGCAATCTCCATCTATTTCAGCCCCGGCGCAGCCGCATCATCGAACCCGGCAGCGTTGGCGTGAAGGATGCCGATTTTTTTTTTTTTTTAAGATGTCGGCTGTGCCTTCGTTATTCAGCATACAAAACTATTTTGTGTGGATTCGTGTTGTTGGCGCGTATCGAGAGTTAAGCTCTGAGAATGGAATGAGATGTAGGCCGCTAGGCCTGTCTTAACGTTGTGTTTCGTTTAATATTGCGCGGGTTTTATGCTAGGTGTCGTGTTTCTGTGTTTTATCATAACATGCTGTGCACGTCGATTCTCGTCGTTGCTGTACAGAATTGCAACGCGGGATACTCATTGTGATCATTGTTATTGTGCATTTAGATAACACAGTTTTAAATGGTTAGCTAAAGCTAATTAGCCGAATGTAGGACATTGTTAGCTTAGCTCTGTTGAACAGGCTAACACAACTACGCTTTAATGACAGAACAACAATGCTGCCAGTGCATATGCAGCTTTTTATGCTTCTACGGTTTTGTGGATAAATCAACCTGATAGTGGACCGTGTATATTTAAAAAACATGTATATTTTTGCCTCGCTATGCATGATTTTTTTTAGCATTTACTGTACATTATGTAAATACAGTCCACACAATATGTGCAGTAAATTGAACTTAGCTTATTCTTTCATTTTGTTTTACACCGAAATAAACAGTAGTATATGAAAAAAATCTAGCTGATCAAATGAATTTTTAAACGAGCTTCATGTGATGTGTAAGCCATCAACTTACTTTTTGTTTTGCAAATGGATACATTTTAAATAAAAGAAAATAGTGGTAAAATGATGTGTGGGTTTGAAGTTTTTCATCATATGTAGTATTTTTATTCAGACTGTAATAACCTGAGTTCACAGTGTTCACTATTATAAATATACACATCTTATATATTTCCAATATTAGTTCATATTTGATTATTACTGCCAGGTACAGAGTAGCATGTAGAATGCATGTCATACAAAYAATTAATATGTAATGTAACTGTATAAAAGAGGGTTTCCAGAGCAAGGATGCAGAACTGTATCTTGTGCAAAAGGTGTTGCAGCATCTACGCCATGTAAAATCTGCAGCACGTTGTCTCACATAAACAGGCATCTTGTCTTTACAACCTGATAATAACTTTAAAAAGTAAGACAAGAAATAAATGTGACATGACAGTTGGGAAATAACATGCCTAAGGAGCAAGGTTTTTTTCTCTCAGCAGATTAAGCATAACAAACCCCACAGCTGCAATTATAATTGTAGCATCATTACCCTGTTAATAAATCCTGTACTAAAGCCAAAGATTACAAACCTATTAGAACCTGGTATGGAAAGGTACCTGTAAATAAATGCATTTATGTGCATCTGTTCAACTGTATCTAAAATTATTATTTAGTCTGTCTCCAGAACCCTTTATGGATGGAAATAAATATTACAAGGCACTTCACCCTGCATCTTTTTTCCCCTTTCCTTAGTAGTTATTCTGTGGACTGAGCTGTATAGACCAGGTGTCTGATGATGGAGGACCACGCCGTGAACCAGACGGAGCACATGACCACCATCGAGGCCAGCGCCGTCAGCCAGCAGGTAGAGCTGCTTCGCTTTGATGCGTCATAATTAAAATTCTTAAAACAGATCAACAGCCAGTCTTCTGGATGAATGGATTTTGTCATTAATTCCCTGAGTGTAATGATCTTGTAACAGCAGATTWAAAAAAAAATCATATCATGACATCATAACGTTCAGAAATAACACTTGTCTTTTAATAGGAGAAAAAAGCAGATCTGTTACTGGAAAACGGTGCATTTGAAGTTTATGTTTTATGTTTATATTTAGTTTATYAAACTAATAATATATACCTGATTGATTCCTCGTGCATAGGTCCACGTGGCCACCTTTACAGAAGCATCTATGATGAGTGCTGATGAGGACTCGACATCCTCACCAGACGACGACCCTTATGACGACACAGACATCCTCAACTCAGCTGGCACTGATGAGGTCACTGCTCACCTTGCAGCTGCAGGTGAGTGACAACTATTGCCAGCAAGGCTYGGTGTTCAWGTTTAATGTRATCTTCAGATATGAACAGCAGGGGGCGCTKATGTTTTATATACAGTATTAGGACAGAGCAAAGATTCTATGACTGTGCTTGTGTGGATTCTGTTAAAAGTTATACATATAAACGTCTATCTGCTCAAATTGCACTGTCATATTCAGATTACCAGCAGGCTATACAACTGTGTCGTTTCTGATTAGTTTCTTTTGTAGTCCAACTTGGTCTTCTTGTTTTCATCTCAGGTCCAGTAGGCATGGCTGCTGCTGCTGCTGTGGCAACYGGTAAGAAAAGAAAAAGGCCTCACATCTTTGAATCCAATCCCTCGATCCGTAAGAGGCAGCAGACTCGTTTGCTCAGGTGAGATCTATTACCGGGGAAAAAAAGCCTCTCCGTCATCTTTTATTTATTTTATGTTCGCAGTTTCAAACGATGGTTTGCGTTTACAGGAAACTGCGCGCCACACTGGACGAGTACACCACCAGAGTGGGCCAACAGGCCATAGTGCTGTGTGTTTCTCCCTCCAAACCAAACCCTGTGTTCAAGGTGTTTGGTGCTGCTCCGCTGGAGAATGTGGTGGGTGGGATTTTATTTGCCTAAAATCATATTATACRTACATGCATGTCGGTTTCTTATATTTCAGATGTTATTTGTGTTCTTCACCTCTTCAAATTGCAGTTGACTAAAACAAAACTAGCCCTGTGCTGATTCTCTCCTGGTGATTAGGTGAGAAAGTATAAGAGCATGATGTTAGAGGACCTGGAGAACGCCCTGGCTGAGCACGCTCCTGCTGGTGGAGAGTTGGCCTCAGAGYTGCCCCCGCTCACCATTGATGGCATCCCCGTCTCGGTGGATAAGATGACCCAGGTGAGGCTMCCTTATAATTTAAGGAGTTTTCTCKGGGACTGAATAACCGTGTGTTTTTTTTTTTTTACCATTGAACAGCTGGACAAAATTTAAACATCGACACTCCCAGTAGGGGGCACCAGCTGCCACAAAACAGAGTAGTAATTATATTCAATATGTAGCATGAACAAGAAAGAACTCGTGCAGCTGTTTTTTTATCAGGGTCAAGTGTTTATTTCTACAGATTTTAAATTCTGTATCAATGTTTTCCTATTAGTAAGTTGAGTTATTGTTTTTGGTAAGAATATGGCCATGTTTTAGGATAATTCAGGTAATATAGAAGTAGTGTCAGCTAAATCTCCCCCTCTCTCTCTGCCAGAGAGCGAGTGCAGAGTTGGCCTTTCGCTGCAGCATTAGCTGTCTGAGTCTAGTGTTCACCCAAGGGAAGCCGGCTTGTTTACTCTGCCGTCCCCGTGCTGCTGACGCACTCTGCAGATCATCATCAGAGTAGCCGGCGCGAGAGTGGCCCTCGGAGACGGTCTGCAGCCCGGGGAGCGCRGCAGCCAATCGCAGGGCCAGATAAATCCTCCGAGGGCTGGGTGTTAGTCGGTGCTTGTTTTTTTTTTCTGGAGGATGAGATTATCTTGAGTAACCTGTTGCCTCACTCAGCATGGCAGAACCAGGTGGGAGCAGTGGGGGTGTTTTTTATTTATTTAATAATGTTAATGATAAACCGAGGAAATGATTTTCATGAACGTAACATGGAGTTAAATCAAACCTGGTGCACCTGTTACGTATCAGGAAGGGATTAACGTTCATAAATTTGTCTGCARTGGGTTTTAAAGACAAAGTTACATGGAGCATCTGTAGCAGGTGATCCCTGGTCTAACTTGAGCCCATAATTGCCACCTACCTTTGTTAAGTTCAGGGAGCCAGCAACATAAAACTAAACTCGGGWTTGGACCACTGCTTTGAGGATTAAGATTGGGGGGTGGGGTGGTCGGCATGAAGGCAACATGCCACTTAACTAACTAGCCACTTTAATTAGGCCATCTGCTCGTGCGCGCAAACATCCGCATCGCCCACAGGTGGAAATGCAGGAATCCTTTTCCTACTAAGTCCTTGYCCTGGCTTAATCCAAGCCACCATCTCTGTTTGTTGAAGTGGGAAGCATTACTTCAGCCACCAGTGCAGTGTCTACCCTCCGTTTTCYAGCCAAATCCATTTTGTCATATCTGATCAGGATTTGATGCTCCAATAAACTATGTATAGGTAGCCTGTGATTGTGCGTTTGGAAAAAATAAATAAATAAAGGGTTGGGGGTGGGGGGGTCTAATGGGGAGGAGGAAGGGATTTATTTCTCCCGGAACCAAATTTAGCCTGTGATGTCAAAGTAGGCAGACGCCGCAGAGCCTCGCTGTGCAATATAATCCCCCTGGTGATGCGTGCATATTACCAGGACACTGAGGACACTGGCACTAAACCACCCCACCCCCACCGCAGCATGGCAGGCRATTCCACGTTTCTGCCTCTTCTGGAAGCGTTGCTGAAGACAGTGATTTGCAGGTTTTCGAAGGGCGATTTCCTGATTCGACACAAAAAATCAACATCAAAAATAATCGCCGTCTATATTTATCCAAAACAAACATATCTTTAAACACAAATTGATCTATACCTCCAAAATTAAAGTATCTACAGTTGTGAGACTTTTTACTCATTTACAACAATGCAATTGTGACATTTATAATGTTTAATGAAGAAAATATTAAAATTTACTTTACACGGTCTTTAATTTTAACAACCCTGACCCACTTGCTCTGATACCTGTGCTGAATATCCCAGACTGTGGTGTCACATCTAACTGGAGCCACAGTCATARATTAGTCCCCTCATAAACACTTTTTTAAGAAACCCTTGCTTCTATTTGCAGGTGCACAATCGATGCATTCTCCTGCCTCTGTCTCAAGGGYGCGTTGGCTCGCAAGCTGTTTCTTTGAGCATGATTCGGTGTTTTAATGTCTCCCATCGTGTTTCCCTTCAGGCCCAGCTGCGAGCGTTCATCCCAGAGATGCTGAAGTACTCCACGGGCAGAGGGAAGCCCGGCTGGGGCAAAGAGAGCTGCAAGCCRGTGTGGTGGCCCGAGGACATCCCCTGGGCCAACGTTCGCAGCGACGTCCGCTCAGAGGAGCAGAAACAGAGAGTAAGACTAATACTGCAAAGACACGCTACTACAGCGGGTAAAATAAGTACTGAACACGTCACCATTTTTCTCAGTAAATATATTACTAGAGGTGCTAATGACATGAAATTTTCACCAGATGTTGATAACAACCCAAGTGATCCATACATACAAAGAAATCAAACCATAAATGT